TGCTCCACTGCTCCTGGGCAGCTTCAGGATCCTGGTCAGGAGCAGGGGCAGGGGCAGGGGGAGGCTCCCACCATTCCTCATCAGAGCAGTACTCCTCAGCCTGGTCTCTGACAGGTTGACTCTTTCCTCACTCTACCAGGAGATGCTAGAGACTGTGGAGCTCACTCAGTAAACTGTGGACCTGTTTCTTATGCTTCAAATGCTCTTCTGCCATCAAACTAGCTGGTTTTCTTCCTGTCTTTAGGACATCTCCCTCTCATAATATTAGAGCTCAAGACCATCCAATGAAGCTGACGAAAGGGAAGCCTGTTTGCATATTAAAATCAGTGTGCAATTCCACAAACATAGTATCATCGTTATTGGCGACAAAGGTGTAACACAATTGAGGGGTAGATGAAGGGCAAGATATTAAGACGTGTGACTTTTTTGTGTCTTCTGAAAATGCAGTGTCATGCAAAACATAATCTAAACTGGAGCCCTGGAAAAGAAGCAAAGAGCAAAGGAATATTAACAAGCAAGATTATGCTATTGCAAGGCTAAGCTGAGCCCCAGGGAATTTAGACAATGCAGAAGGTCGGCTAGATTACATCAAAGGAGGGGACTTTTAGAATTTAGTGTGCAATTTTCTCCATAGGTGTATAAAGTATTTTTCTAACTGCTTTTGTTCTGATATTCAGTCACTTTGCAGCCAGCAGCTATGCAACAGTAGGTTGCTGATAAAATTACCTCTTGAAAACAAGATTAGAAATTCTCCACATGAAATATAGGAGGGGAAGATGTGAAGCAGCGCTTGGCTAGATAACTAAGGCTGCCGCAACCTTATGCACACTTTCCTGAGAGTAATATCCATTGAACGCAGTGGGACTTACTTTTGGGCAAAAATGCAGAGGCTTCACACCAAAAGATACATGATTCCTAAAAGGTACTATCAGCCCCAAAAATCTAAAGTGCTGATTCACATCACATTTTTAAAAGGCAAAGCCAACCTCAATTGACTCTTTAGATCCATTTTATTGCAGACTGTATCAACGAGTTTGGGACTTGATCCGTGTTCTGACACCCATCCCGACTGTGATTCTATTACATTGCTATTTTTAGAAGAATTTGCTACATAAGCCATGACATATCATCCCCCCCCTTGTGCCCTCCTCAAAGTACACCCCCCCCATACACACTCCAAAACAATAGCAATGCAGTTATCATAGATCTGTTCATTAGCTGGAATTCTTTTTCTCTAAATCAATAATAGCATTACGGTGAAGAAATTGAAGAAGTGCAGCAACATCAAGCAATTACATTCCACCTACCTAAATTACCCCTGCAATGATAATTGACACAGTTTCTTACACTCTGCTTCAGCATTAGACTTTTGTGAGCACAGATCAACATTAACCGTCCTTCTGCACACAGAGTAGTTATTCGGTGTTGTGAACCAGTAAATCATGATGATCGGGGTAAATTTATGTGGCTGTTCAAGGGCCCTCGAAATCCTGATTTAAGCATAGTAAAATGCAAGCTTTTTTAAAATTAAGTGTTTTTTTAGAAACTAAGTGTGGGTTTTTAAGAAACTTGGGGGTTTCTTTAGGGGGGGTTACATTCAAGATCTACATACCCTCCAACATTTCTCCCATGAAAATAGGGACATCCTATTCTGCATCAGGAAGCTTCTCCCGTGTTTGATCCCGCCACACACATACAAGTCATATACATATAAGCATCTGTCCCCTTGAGACAGTTACAACCTCTCAGTCTAACCTACCTCATAGGATTGTTGCAAAGAAAAATGTGCGAGGGAAGGGATCATGTACAACACCTTCCACAGATAAATGGAATGAAACAAAAATTTAGCTGTAAGCTGCCTTGAGTCCCTGTCAGGGAAAAAGGCAGGCTATAACAACAACAACAACAACAACAACAACAACAACAACAGAAACTCTGAGAATGATCAGAAACATAAGGTAAAGGGGACCCCTGACCATTAGGTCCAGTCGCGGACGACTCTGGGGTTGCGGCGCTCATCTTGCTTTATTGGCCGAGGGAGCCGGCTTACAGCTTCCGGGTCATGTGGCCAGCATGACTAAGCCGCTTCTGGCGAACCAGAGCAGCGCACGGAAACGCCGTTTACCTTCCCACCGACGGTACCTATTTATCTACTTACACTTTGACGTGCTTTCGAACTGCTAGGCTGGGAGGAGCAGGGACCGAGCAACGGGAGCTCACCCAGTCGTGGGGATTTGAACCGCCAACCTTCTGATCTGCAAGTCCTCGGCTCAGTGGTTTAACCCACAGTGCCACCCGCGTCCGATCAGAAACATACCAGAAAGTAAATTCTATTAAACTCAGTGGAACTTAGTTCTGGCTAAAGGATTGCTTAGGAAAGCAGTGTAAGGCTGCACAGTCTTTACCCAGTTATCAGGGAGTAAGATCCATTGAATTCACTGGGACTTTCCTCTCAGTAGACAGTGTAAGGCTCCATTTCATAGCTGTCAACTTTTTCCTTTTCTTGCGAGGAATCCTATTTGGAATAAGGGAATTTCCCTTTAAAAAGGGGGAAAGTTGACAGCTATGCTCCATTTAGAATAAAGGAATAAACACTCCACACATTTCCTTAAAACTGGCTGGCTGCTGAAGCATTGCAATTAAAGAATTTAAAGTAGATTGGTGACATTTTCCTTCAAAATTTTAGGAAGGGCTTTGTATGCCAGCTTCACCATTTCTTTAATTTAGTACAGGAATTTAATTTTTTGCACCTACACACACACACCCAACTTTTAATTGTTCTCTGAGATGTGGAGGGGAGGAAAAAGGAAAATGGGGACATTCTGGGATCAAATCAGAAACTGGAATGGCTTCTGTATTTCCAGGACTGTCCCTAGAAAATAGGGACACTTGGAGGGTGTCTAACTACAATTTGTTAGGGAGTATGTTTGAGCACAGGTGGTCTATAGCTAGGAAGACCTTACTGCAAGGCACTGCCAACCTTATTATGGTGTTTGAATAGATGTAAAGCCTGCAAGGCAAAATGCAGTTCTGGGTCCTTCACTATTGTGGAGCATAGAATGTCCCCCACCTGAATAAAAAAGTGGGCATCTCAGGCCTAAGGGACTTGGTGGAATAGTAAAAATGAAAGGATTTAGCTGAGTGATAAGAATCAAGCAAGGACTAACAAGGTACGCAAATGTTTAACTATCACTGGCAAAGTTGCTCTGATCCTAAGGTCTCGGGCTGGCAAAATGAGGAAGAGGTTGACATCCTAACTTGAAATGGCCTCAGGCCTCTTGTAGAATTTCAATATTGCATCCCCTGCAACGCTTCCATTTATTATACCCTGGGAATCCCTAGAAGCCAAACTCCTCTAATAATTATGTTTGAGGTCTTCTCCTGCAAATATAAATAGCCATGAGTAGTGGCAGTGTATTATTTTCTCAGAAGGATTCCATAAATTCTATAATCATTTCACACTGTATGCTCAGTGCAGGCTTCTTAGGGGTGCTAGACAATCTGTAATTTAGACTGCAATTTCTTCTCTGCTTAAACCTCTTAGCATTACACTATGCTCAGTGATGACAATGTATAAATAAACAATCCTCCCATTTTAGTCGACCCTGCATTTAATATGGAATGACTATGGAGGGCTGCAAGCCCTTGCAGCTGAAAGGGGAAGCTTCAGTTTCTCTGCGAAACCTCTGGCACCATCTCAGGACATCTGTGCAAAGATTGCTGTGTGTATCAGATGGACTTTCATAAGCATTCACCTCCAAGCTGCAATATTAACTGTGGACTACAGTGCAGGCTTTCTATAAGGTACTCTCTCACAGCACCGCCCTCCAATCTGCAACAAGGATATTACCATAAACAACACTACACTTTAATGTATCCTGCTCTGACTAACCTGCAATGTGGGTAACATCGCAGGCTTGCTTTCCTCTAATCAATGAACCTGTAGAAGGATTTGATTTTCTTGAACAACACTGCAGGGTGGAGCCTGACACTGTGTGAATATTCAGTGTGAACACTCATAAATCATTCTTTCATGTCCTTTTCCAACCTAAGTAAGAACAAAGTTAGAACAAGCAAGGCCACTTTCCTTTGCTGCTACCTTTCAGGTTTTTAGGCAAATATAGTGCCCATTCACAGCTATATTAAAATTTTGACTTTCTCCTTTAGTTTCTATGGGCAGCTCTCACTTCTGTCCCTGGGAACATTTTAGATATGAAACAGGAAATGACCACCCTGGCCAATTAGGCGATTCCATATGCCTCTCTCCTTCCCTCTCCAACCATGCCATTCCATTCCCCTTCCCGGCGTTTTAGCTCTTCATCTCTCAATATTCCATACCACTTAACTTCTTTAAGGGTTATTTGGTGCCCTGCTCCATGCTGCTTCTGAAAACCTAGGGTTCCCCTCCCCCACAAGACTGTTGGTACCTCCCCATATTTTGGCTATGTAATGGTGGGCGCTCTCCTCCGAACCTCCATAAAAAAAATGTAAGAATACATTGTGTGGGTGTGTTTATAGATGAAGATATAATTTCATGTCAACTGAACATTCTCCATCCTCATAGACCTGGGTTTGGAGATTCCCCCACCATCCCAATACACTATTATGGTGTACCCACCCCCCAACTTTTTACACTTCTTTGTTTTCCAAAGCTTGCTGATACCTGACTTTTTGTGCTGCTTTGGCTACATAAGCAACAGCTGTCACCTATGAGCAGTAGAAATAGAGGGACTGCCAAACCATTAACGAAACAGAATTTATTAAACCAAGGATGAGAACCAAAGCATTTGCAAAATTAATTTCCAGTAGAATACTCACATAAACGTTTATGTGTACATTGGGGGGGGAACTGCTAGACCAATTTGTACGCCAAACAAAACACAGAACAGGAATTCAACAACATGAATATTCTTTGTTGTTTGTGGACTTCCAGTTATCTTCACAATTAATCTTTTGAAAATTGTCCCAAAATGTTGTAGCTAGAAATGAACAGTTTTTGGCTATATATTTGCATAGTACCGGTCACGGTTTTGGAAATCTCTATGTGCATATTTTGCATCTGATCTGCTGTGAGGCACTCTGTCAAACGGCTCGTGATCATTGAAACACGATTCAAAGACTTCATCCACAGCTTTCTCGGCGACCTCTTTACTGATGTTCCGAACAGCCAAGATGGAGCGAACAGCTCTGTCTTTTACGCAGGTCTGAGGAAGGTAAGAAAACCAAGGTCAGGACACAGACTGCGAAGTCTAGACAAGGGATACACTTAGTAAAATTGATTATTACCAATAATAAGCCACAGAAAGTGTTTTGAAAGGTACAGTGGTACCTCACGTTAAGTACTTAATTCGTTCCAGAGGTCCGTACTTAACCTGAAACTGTTCTTAACCTGAAGCACCACTTTAGCTAATGGGGGCCTCTTGCTGCTGCCGCGCTGCCGGAGCACAATTTCTGTTCTCATCCTGAAGCAAAGTTCTTAACCCAAGGTACTATTTCTGGGTTAGTGGAGTCTGCAACCTGAAGCGTATGTAACCTGAAGCGTATGTAACCTGAGGTACCACTGTATTGCTAACTAAACAAAATGAACAACTGTCAATCTCCCATATTCTCCACAAACTTGGGAAGACACCAAGATGCTAAGCTCAAAAGCCAGTGTCACATTGTTTATTGTGGATGTCTACTAGCAATGTCACTTCTTGAAGAACAGCCGTATAAGGTTGCACCAAATCTGACCAGCAACAGATTATAATACTTTGTTATACCTAACAGAACTCCTGTAACTTGAATCTCGGATATCTGAATTTCCAAATTAAACAGGACCTCATCTGCAAATGGAGACACTGTGGAAGCCTGGCCCTCCTCTTCATTTACAGGTCACCATCAACTTACCTGCTGGTGCTGCTTCAATCCAAATTTAAACCGGGTCATTTCATTTAGGAGGGAGCAATCGCCACTAAGATTAGCAGCTCGAATCTATGTAGGGAAACACACCAAAGACACCAAAACTAAATAAAGTACTCGGAGAACTGCAACCATTCCTGACATAATTACATGGCTCCCAACAGTTCTCTGGCTAAGATGCCACTAGCTATATGCCAGTCAAGACAACAGGCCGTAAGAACACATGTGACACAAAGTAAGACTTTGAAAAAGTACTGTTTGCTTACTTATAAGATTTCTGACCGTGTGACATGTCTGGTTTCCTTTTTCTCCTGCCCCCTGCTACTTCACACTGAGTAAAATTTTAAAGGCAGGCTGGTTGTTTGAATTTTCTCATTCACAGTTTTTAAAGCTGCAACAACTAAAATAGGAATACTGACAAAGGCTTTTCAATCATGCCAGATACTGATCGTTGATTAGAATCTTACATTTATATTGCTTTATTATGTTTTAGCATTGTACACTAGTTAATTCTAATTTTAAATTGGAGTAACTTCTTACTAGCACATACACAAAAACCCACTGGGTCAATCAATTTCTGAAATAGTGAAATCGCAGAACTGTTATACAGAACCTCGGAAGTCGAATGGAATCCGTACCGTAAGTCTGTTCGACTTCCAAAATGTTTGGAAACCAAAGCGCAGATTCCAATTAGCTGCAGGAAGCTCCTGCAGCCAATCAGAACCCGCAGAACCTGCGTCAGATGTTCGGGTTCCAAAGAAAGTTCACAAACCGGAACACTCATTTCCAGGTTTGCGGCATTCGGGAGCCAAAACGTTTGACTCGCAAGGCGTTTGATTTCTGAGATACGACTGTAATGACCCTGTGATCCACTATGTACGTCTATGGAATTTCTAGATGTGACCAGCATGAACAATCCCCATCTTGCCGCTTTTGACAAAAACACACTTAGAATGAAGGGGAGGGAGGGAAGCCAAGGAAAAAACTAAGAAGAATTGCACTGATAAGTGTATATTTTGCTTAGATGTTAAATATATTCTTAGCAGCACTATTAATTTACAACTTACCTCTGAGCAAGCTAAATGTCTGATATTATTGAACCAGTCCACATGTGCACGGCAGTGATCAAAAGCATGGATAAGCTCATGTGCAACCACTCTGTTCATATGAGACTGGTGATGAATATTGTTTTGGCACAGAACAATCTACAAAGGAAATAAGGGGGACATTCAGAAGATAATTTAATCTACAAGTCACAGGCTTTATCCTATTTTAAAGCAAGCCCCAAAAATATACTGAAATTGACAAGTGCAGAACTTTGTGGACAGACATCCTCTGGTATTTCTCTGGTGGTTGATGGGCCCAACACATGTCTCAAATTGGCCTCTGAAGCTTTTCCTCAAGCCACTTGCCCTACAACTGATTTCATATATGACATCAAGTAAGAACACAGCTACAAAGGAACAATTGGGAGCCAAAAATGAGCTTTCATTTGCTACTTTGCAGATGGGAAATCACTGACAGCACTGATTAGATGACCGGCACTAAAAGCAAGCACCAGATGGGCACTAGAGTTCCCCATCAAGAACTTTCCCATGCAGCCAAGAGGGCTCGCTATCAGTGCTTATCAGCAAGCCCCTTTGAAGGTGTGCTTTCACTGACAGTGCACCTTCCCAGGGGCTCACTGCTCACTCCTGCTTCATGCATTTGAAGACTCATCATGAGCCCACGCAAATGCATTTTGAGGCCATTCAAGCCACTAATCAGCTCTCAAGATTAAGTCCCAACTGTGGGCCAACAGTCTTCCCTTTTTGTAGAAGGCCTATAGTTTACCAGGTGAGTCTGCTGCCTAGAACAAAAGAAGCCCTTCCACTCCAACAGGAATAACTTCTCTGTGAGCAGTGAGTGGGCCTGTGGATTTGTATTTCCAATTCAAAAGAGGTCTGACTGCTCAAATACTATTTAATTAAATACTCCACTTGAACTGAATCCTTCTGGCTTGTGCAATCATTTTATTAATTTACTATAATACTATGGGGGAGAGGGGAGTAAGCATTGATTCCGAGAACTATGAACTCAAAATGTTCAACAGTAAACATCTCATAATTTTCTGCAACTATTTTGTTTTGCTAACATGTCAAAGCATCAAGTTATCTGATGTTTCCAATGCTGCAACAGATTGCTCCATACCTACCTGTGATGTTGAAGAATCGAATCCTCCACTGACACACCCATCACACTCTTCACATGAGAAGTGTCGATCTTTGAAAACAGTGCTAAAAGGCCCAAATACAGGTCAGCTTTTTAGTATTAAAGTCATCTTCAAGTAGGAACACAAATGCAGTAAACATGCAACAAGCTTGGGTCAAAAAAAAAATCTTACCAGCCAGTATTCTTCATAGCATCAAGTAGCAGTTTAGCATATGGACCTAGATCAAGCAATGCAGTCATTTATTCTTAAGCACAAAACTTGGGGCAGACAAAATGAGCTACTGGTCACATGCTTTAGACCACAAACAGGCAGCCTGTAGCCCACATGTGGCCCTTGCAGGCCTTCAGTGTGGCCCATGTGGGTACCCACCTTTGTAAGATCAGAACTACAGCTGGGTGCATGTCAAAAACTTTAGAATAAGGGCAATGGGAAACAGACAATATGAATGGACTCTCTGCACCCTTACGACAGCAAAAAGACTGTTACTGATGAACTGGAGGAGGGAAACAATGTGGGTCCCTTTAATGACTGGATTGAAGATATGAACAAACTTGCTACACATGAACAAGCTGTATTACAAACGTAGACTTGCCATGGGCAAATTTGACAGTATTTGGAATAGGGTTTTTTTATATATAAATACCATATTAGATTATGGTCTGGTTAACTGGAATAACAAGGTTCCCCCTCCTTTTTTGTAATGCACACAATATATATTTTTCTGCTTTGTTTTCTACATGGATTCTATTTCTTGTTTCTTCTTTTTTGTGTCTTACTCCGTGCACTTGTACTTTGGTATTTTCTAGTAAAGAATGATATATAGATAGATAGATGATAGATAGATGCGCGCGCACACACACACACACTTGTACCTTGGATGTTGAATGCCTTGCTATTCGTACGTTTTGGCTCTCAAACACCACAAACCCAGAAGTGAATGTTCCAGTTTGCGAATGTTCTTTGGAACCCCAACGTCTGATGCTGCTTCCGCGGCTTCTGACTGAGTGCAGGAAGCTCCTGCAGCCAATTGGAAGCAGTACCTTGGTTTTTGAACATTTTCAGAAGTCGAATGGACTTCTGGAATGGATTTTGTTCGAGAACCAAGGTACGACTGTGTGTGTGTGTGTGTGTGCGCACAGACACACACACACTTGGTTTACAGTAATAAGCAGCCTATTACCCATGGGTAATAGACTGTTTATTACTGCAAACCAGTTTCTAGACTTCTTGAAAAGAACAAGCTGGAAGGCTGCCAGTGGTTGATCCACAGGCAATGGTCTTCTTGCTACTACTTGACATGGAAGGTGTCTGCCCTGGCAACAAAACAGGGTCTGACTTAGGCTGCCAACCTAACCCCGCTTACCTGGGAGTAAGCCCCCCTACATTGCCTAGGGCTGAATAGGCATGGATAGGCTTGCACAGACCTCTCTTGGGAAAGAGACAGGGGGAAAATCTGGGGAATTGTGGTTGTTCTATCAGCCAGCTCTCAGGTCTGTGGCTGCTGTTGCCTAGTGCCAGGTCAGCTCAGAGTAAGGCCTCTCTCATCCATGATCTGCTTGTGGATTGCCAATCTCCCCTTCTTGGGCAAGATCCATGAGCATGTGGACACGGGCCAGATCCAAATATCCCTGCAGGAAACTGATTTTCTAGAGCCATTTCAATTGGGGTTTAGGCCCACTTTGGGCATGAAAACTGCTTTGGCTGCCGTGTAAAGGTAAAGGGACTTGGGGTTGCGGTGCTCATCTCGCTTTATTGGCCGAGGGAGCCGGTGTACAGCTTCTGGGTCATGTGGCCAGCATGACTAAGCCGCTTCTGGCGAACCAGAGCAGCGCACGGAAACGCCGTTTACCTTCCCGCCAGAGCGGTACCTATTTATCTACTTGCACTTTGACGTGCTTTCGAACTGCTAGGTTGGCAGGAGCAGGGACCGAGCAACGGGAGCTCACCCTGTCGCGGGGATTCGAACCGCCGACCTTCTGATCGGCAAGTCCTAGGCTCTGTGGCTTAACCCACAGCGCCCTTGGCTGCCCTGTAGAGGCCCCTAAATTTTCGGTTAAGAGCCTCGCCTGCGGTGCAACCCAGCATAGGTGCAAGTAATTGACGGGAGCGTGTTTAGGAGAGAGGCAGGGGGAGGGAAGGAGCCGCGGGTCCCTTGGGAGCGGAGGGCAAGTGGCTCGCCCGTCACTGCGCGGCCAGAGCGGGGACGCGGCCTCCAGGCACTTACTGCTTTCCAGGGCGATCTGCAGCATCACCTGGCACCTGTGGTTCTTGGTGAAGACGGCCTTATAGAGCATGGACTGCTGCTTTTTCCCGCCTCCGCGGCTCCTCTCGGGAAACAGGCCGTACCCAAAGTCGTCGTCCCGCTCTCCGCCGGAGCCGCTGCTCCCCGGATCCTGCGGCTGCTCCGGAGGAGGCATCTCGGAGGAGCCTCCTTCAGCCATTCAGGCGCGTCGGAAACAGCATGGCTCGGGAGGCCTCGCCGGCCACCGTAGGTCACTCACCGTTGTGATAGGGAAAAGCCTCTCGAGGTCGCTCCGCCCCGCCTCTTTGGTACCAACGAGATGTGTAGAAGGAAAGATAGAACTGCCTCCGGCTGCTTCTTTTGAACCAATCACCGAACGGAGCGAGGAGAGGGCTGGAAGGCGGAAATGAAGAGGGGAGGGGAATCAGACGGTATCCATGGCACTAGAGGCAGCAGGCAAACTAAACTGCGCAGGCGCCAGATAAGGCCGAGGGTCCTTTCTATGGTTACCACAGAACTACCTTTTTTCGCAAGGGGAGTTTTACGTCACTGCTCTGTCGCGCGCGGGATTCTGGGAAAGGAGCGCGGCGCTCGGCCTGCGGAGTGGCGGCTGGGGAGCGCGAGAAGGCGGGACCAAACCTCGCGCAGGTAAGGAGGCTGCGGGCGCCGTCGATGGACAGGTGGGGCGGCTGCCTGAGGGAGGGAGTCTCGGGGCCGGCCGGCGGCGACTCTGGCCCGGGGAAGGCTCCCCTTTGCCAGTGTGAGGGTCGGGGCCTTCGAGAGCCCCCTTGAAACCGGGGGGGGGGGGGGCGGACACACCAAACAAGATCGTGCCATTCTCACGTTCACTGTTCGGTTTGACTCGGAGGTAATTTCCCAGGGAGGTTTCTGTCAGACTCCCGTCGTCTTACGCGTAGCTGTCGTATCTTTATAACGAACTTCACCTTGAATTTAGTGAGGGGAACATCGCCTCCAAGTCTGTCCAAGCGCTGTTGCTGAAGAACGAACTGTTACGTGTCTCTGAACACGTGTCTGTTCTATTCCTGTATACAGCAGGAGGGGTGGGGGTGGAGTGGTCTGACCTCTGCAGTTTGAAAAAGAAAAGAAACGTTTGGTCCAAGGGCACTATTTACAGGGTAATTTACTTGTTGGGCACTGTTTTGCCAGAGGAGCTTATCCAAAAAGAAAACCATGCATGCATTAAAGCCAGGGGGTGTATACATTAAAACTTCCTGCCCACTCCAAAAGGCCATATAGGTCGTTAAAAGCTAAAGTTGCCTGCTTTAAAAACTGTGTTTTTGTTTTGTTTTTTTAATAATTTTTATTAAGGTTTTAAACAAAGAAAAAAGAAAAACAACACACACAAAAAACAATACAAAACTCAACAATAAAAACACAAAACATAACAATTAAAAACAAACTCTCTTTTCCATTTCCAATTTTAAATTACTTATTTTCTGGACTTCCTCATACCTCCCTCTTTTGTATTCCAATCCACATTATTTATCCAGCAGTTTCTTTTCCACTTTTTTAATCCCAATCTTTAATTTAATAAAATGTTAAAATATATAACTTCAACTTTTTTAAACCTAATCCTTACTCTTAATGTCATATAGCTTTAAATTTTTCCCTTTTATTATCAAATTTCCATTTCTTTAAACATCTTTAATCTTAATCTTTAATCTTAATCTATCCTTATCTTTAACCTGTACAGCTGGAAACCACTTATTTTCAATCCAACATCACTCTAACATTCCTTAATTTTGCAGTGTTTCTGAAGATAGTCTTTGAATTTCTTCCAGTCTTCCTCCATCGACTCTTCTCCCTGGTCACGGATTCTGCCAGTCATTTCCGCCAATTCCATATAGTCCATAAGTTTCATCTGCCATTCCTCCAGCGTGGGAAGTTCTTGTGTCTTCCAATACTTTGCGATGAGTATTCTTGCTGCTGTTGTTGCATACATAAAGAAAGTTCTATCCTTTTTTAACACCATTTGGCCCACTATGCCCAGGAGAAAGGCCTCTGGTTTCTTGGGGAAGGTATACTTAAATACCTTTTTAATTCATTATATATCATTTCCCAGAAAGCCTTAATCTTTGGGCACGTCCACCAAAGGTGAAAAAATGTACCTTCAGTTTCTTTACATTTCCAACATTTGTTATCGGGCAAGTGATAGATTTTCGCAAGCTTGACTGGGGTTATGTACCACCTGTATATCATTTTCATAATATTCTCTCTTAAGGCATTACATGCCGTAAATTTCATACCTGTGGTCCATAACTGTTCCCAGTCAGCAAACATAATGTTATGTCCAACGTCCTGTGCCCATTTAATCATAGCCGATTTTACCGTTTCATCCTGAGTATTCCATTTCAGCAGCAAGTTATACATTCTTGACAAATTCTTAGTTTTGGGTTCTAACAATTCTGTTTCTAATTTGGATCTTTCCACCTGGAAGCCAATTTTCCTGTCCAATTTAAATGCCTCCATTATCTGATAATAATGAAGCCAGTCTCGCACTTTGTTTTTTAGTTTTTCAAAACTCTGCAATTTCAGTCTATCTCCGTCTTGTTCCAAAATTTCCCAATATTTCGGCCATTTGACCTCCATATTGACCTTTTCAAGGCTTTCGCTTCCATTGGTGACAGCCACCTTGGGGTTTTGTTTTCTAACAAATCCTTATATCTTAACCAAACATTAAATAGCGCTTTCCTGACAATGTGGTTTTTAAATGCTTTATGTGCTTTGACCTTATCATACCATAAATATGCATGCCATCCAAATACATTATTGAAACCTTCCAAGTCCAAAATGTCAGTGTTTTCAAGAAGTAGCCATTCTTTCAACCAGCAAAAGGCTGCTGATTCATAATAAAGTTTGAGGTCTGGCAGGGCAAATCCACCTCTTTCCTTTGCATCTGTTAGTATTTTAAATTTTATTCTAGGCTTCTTGCCCTGCCAGACAAATTTAGAGATATCTTTCTGCCACCTCTTGAAACAATCCATTTTGTCCACGATCTGCAAAGTTTGAAACAAGAACAACATTCTAGGCAATACATTCATCTTTATCGCAGCAATACGGCCTAGCAGTGAAAGCTTCAAATTTGACCAAATTTCTAAATCTTTTTTCACTTCTGACCAACATTTTTCATAATTATCTTTAAATAAATTCCCATTTTTGCTGTCATGTTAATCCCCAGGTATTTAACTTTCTTAACCACTGTTAAACCTGCCTCATTCTGAAACCTCTCTTTTTCAAACGGTGTTAGATTTTTTCTCTAAAACCTTGGTTTTTGACTTGTTCAATTTAAATCCTGCCACTTGACCAAATTCTTGAATCAGTTCTAAAACCCTTTTTGTACTAGATTCTGGCTCCTGTAACGTCAATACTAAGTCATCTGCAAAACACAAAAACTGTGTTTTTGGCTGGCACCTGAAGATACATAGCAACGGCACCAGGTGAGCCTCTGCAGAGAAAGCAATCCCTTGCCACCGTGCAATGATTCATTTTGTTATTTATTTATTTATTGAAACATTTCTGCCCCATCCTTCATTGAAATGATAAAAGGTAAAGGGATCCCTGACCATTAGGTCCAGTCGTGACCGACTCTGGGGTTGTGGTGCTCATCTCGCTCTATAGGCCAAGGGAGCCGGCGTTTGTCCGCAGACAGTTTTTCCAGGTCATGTGGCCAGCATGACTAAGCCACTTCTGGCACAACAGAACACCAAAACCAGAGCAGCGCACGGAAACGCCGTTTACCTTCCCGCCAGAGCGGTACCTATTTATCTACTTGCACTTTGACGTGCTTTCGAACTGCTAGGTTGGCAGGAGCAGGGACCGAACAACGGGAGCTCACCCCATCGCTGGGATTCGAACCGCCGACCTTCTGATCAGCAAGTCCTAGGCTCTGTGGTTTAACCCGCAGCGCCACCCACGTCCCTCATTGAAATGATACATCACTATAAACTCTGGCCAAAACAACTATGAGCAAAGAAAGTAAATAAATGGAACCTGTGGGTATAGGGTATACTATAGGGCAGTATATAAATGATGATGGTGATTGTAATAATAATAATAATAATAATAATAATAATAATAATAATAGGGACAATAAAGTCGCAGCAATAATTATGGATCAAAATCTGGCCAGGTGGTTGACTTCCCCCACCCTTGGTTGGTTTTTAATTGGCACTGAAAATTCATTGGTGTTGGTATTTTAAGGGGCTTCTGGCAGTTTTCACCATTTGTAGCTTAAGAAAGAAGAAAAGTATGTGGCGTACTCAACAAATGCAAGTGCAATGCAATAGAGGGGTGGGTTTAGTACATCTCTGCTACATGATGGTTTTATTGTGAAAATAAGACACACACACCCAACTTTGCATGTTAGTGGACTGGGTATATGTTTAATGGTCTAATTTCTGGTGGCTCCGTATAATTCAGTCTAGTTTCATTATTTTTTTAGTAAGGGGCTTTTAGAATGATAGTAGCCTGCTTTTCCCCACTAAATTTATCGTATCATCAGATGACGTTGCTTATTTCAGTACTCAAGGACACCAATACTTTTCTCTTTTTTTCCTTCCTTAATCTAGTATCTGCAAATGTTTGTTAGTAGCCTGACATTTCCCAAAACCTTTTAATTACCAGATGACTTCACCAAATAAAGCAATAGAGTTACAGATGCAAATAAGACAAAATGCAGAAGAGTTGCAAGATTTTGTGAAAGAATTAGAAAATTGGGAAAAGGATATTAAAGAAAAGGATTGCAATTTACGGCAACAGAGTGGAGTTCCAGTCAAGGTAAATTCAGTTATCTGATACTAGGATTGACAGGGATGCTTACAAGTAGAAATATGTCCTTTTTAAATTTCAAGTGAAACTACAAATAAATCACCTGTATTACTGATGTAGTTTTTGCCATTTTGTGCTTAGCATGTTTGTTTGGCGGGAAGTCATATACTTAGATTTCCTCTTTTACAAAGCAAAAGGGGACTCTTTGTAAACTCTGAAACATTTAGGTCATAACTTTCAACAAACAATGATGCATAGTGCCATTCTTTTCAAGATAGAATCATATGTAATATTGCAATTGTTTCCCCAGTTTAAGCAGCTCCCTTGCCATTCACAGCTACTTTCTCTGAGAGAAGAGATCCCTTTGGGAGCAGGGGAAGAATGGAACTACAAACAGCATAGAGATTGTTTAAGTGGGTCGCATACCTGGATGAGTCTTCCTTTAGTGCATTTGGGAATGCATCCTCATCAATGGCCAATAAATCTGCTTGTGTACTATGGGAACTAGAAAAGGGCAAATCAATTTATTTATTAAGTTTTCTGATACTGAATAGCAACTTTTTCTGATATTTAGGATTTACCACCAATTCGAAATGAAGCTTATAAGAAAAGGAAGAAAAACAAAGTTAAAGCCATCTCTAAGAAAACTACTGAAGAAAATAAAAAGAATAAGATAAAATCTTACGATTATGAGGCATGGGGGAAGCTTGATGTGGTAAGCTGAATCTAGTTATTAAAATGCTAGGAAAAATACAGAGTTTTGTTTTGTGGGATTTAAGTATGTAACATTAAAGCATGCTATGAAATTTTAAAAATACAATTACAAATTCAAACATCATTTTTTAAAATTTACACCTTTATCTTACTTAGGAAGAGCCCAGGGCAATGTACAGCAACCATGTGAACAAAATAATGATAAAAGAACCATAAAACATATATACAATTTTTAAAAAAACTTGTAGCAAATTATTTAAAACGGAAATACATGTGTTGCTCAATAGAACACCTCTTATTTGTAAAACTGGAAAGGCCAAGGTAACTGTTTTCATTTGGTATCTGAAGGCCAACAATGGGAAACATTGGAAAAATAATTCCAGATTCAGGGACCTACCATAGCGAATGCCCTTCTGCACATCTCTTCATCCTAAATATTGTTGGGGACCTCAAGCAATCCATCACTACTTTGAATCACGTCTGGTATTATACAAGTGGCCAGTGCAGAGCTTTTAGGATAGGTGATCCCATCTTACTGCCTCAGTCAATAATCTGGCAGTAATATCCATCACTAGCTGTAGCTTCTGGACCCTTTTCAAGGGTAGCCCCATAACGAGTGCATTGCAGTAATACAAATGGGAGGTCACTAGAGCATGGGTTACCGTGACTAGCCAGCACTGAAACAAAACTCAAATACCTCCGAAGGTTCAACTAAAGAATATTACACTTTATTGGTGAAACATATTGTCTGTATGTTTTATTAGACTGTAGTCTAATTCATGAGATAATTAAGATGGACATAGATTAATTAACATTTCTGATCTGTGCTTATCCAATTAAAACGAATAGATGTTGCACAGGAGCACCGTTGTCCAGATTACATTCTTGTACCCTAGCCTAAGATTTTAGCTAAAGTAAATTTCACCAAAGGCAGATTTAGTCACAAGAAAATGTATTTCTGGGTTGTCTTGGGGCATTCTATATACTGTAGAAAAATGTTGTAGTTCTAGTTCTAGTTGTAACATGTGACGCTACAGACTTCAGGAAGGGTGGGTGTGCCGGGCAGGGGGTCTGTTTTCATGTAAAGCATTTATTTCACATTTAGTGAGCACATTCTGGAGAGGCTAAACTAAGTTTTTAATATGGGGAAGTAATCCAAAATATGACATCACTCCTTTTCCCGCACTCTGAAGTGGTACAGACCCAAATTCTACCACCTCATTCAGTGTATGTATAAACAGGCTGTCAATTATACAACAGTCAGTAGAACTAAATTAGCTTAAGTATTCAGGCTTAATTTGAAGGAATGGGTTTCTGTGCAGGGACCCAAAATCCACTTTTTCCCTTTTCCAAGGGAGCATTTCTAAAATGCTGTAACTTGAGCTCTTGAGCCAAAAACCAGCTGTATAAACAAGTGCTCAAAGCTCTCTTTCCCTTATCAGTCCATGAAGGCCGGTAATGACAGATGACCTTGTCCACTCCAAAGTGGAATTTCAAAAAAATACTTCCCAGAAATTCATTTCTAACATTCCTTCTGAAATGGCTTTCGGCAGAAAAGTTTTACTTTCAGAAGCAGTTACTCCATTATGTGATATTACTTTAGCTCTGATAACGGAAATCTTTATTTAAAAAGTGAAAAGACAGTTTGCTTTAGCTGGTTGGATAGGAGTTGGGTGAAATACGTGGATGAATGTTAGTGATATAACTAATATTTAATAAGACATTCACTGTTTTTTACTACTTTGTTTATTCACCCTTTAATTTTTTTAATTTGTAATTTTCTTCAAATGTGTGTCATTTCAGGATAAGATACTTGAAGAACTTGATAAGGAAGATAGCACCCATGATTCAGTGTCTCTAGAATCAGATTCTGAAGAAGATGGAATACGCATAGACACAGAAAAGGCTCTTGCTGAGAAAGAGAAGGTTATTTTGGTCTTCCAGAATGAGGGACACTTTTGTTTTCTCCTAAAACCCTTTAGGATGCACCTTCAGATTAAACCTTGAAACCAAGAGATTAACGCCAGACATTTTTGGATATTTTACCATGACTCATTCCTTATCTAATTATTTTAAGACGTGTTATGGGCAGCATGGTGATTTGATCTTCTTTTGTTTGTTATATTGATGATCTTCTTGAAATAGGCAGTTCGGAATTGTGGTATTTACTTACTCTAAATCATGTTCTATTTTCTGTAAAAACAACAAGAAGAAGGAAACCCAACCTAGTAAAAGCTATAGATGTTTTGGAAAATTGGTGACAGTCACACTCTTCCGTCCTGCTCAACTCTTATCTCCCGGTGCAGGTTGTGTGATTGACAGTGAGGTCTGAAAACTGCTAGAATTTGTGGTTACGGAAGTCATTTATAAACAGAAGTGTGAATTGGGGCTAGAGAGATTATGAATATGTGCCATCTTCCCAAAATTTTATTATATTATTTATTTGCATTTATATTCCTTTCCTCATTTTATCTTCAAAATAAGCCATGGTGTAGGTTAGGATGCAAGTGAGTCTTGCTGAGGTCTTTTTCAAGGGTTCCATCTGAATAGGGTTGAATATGGGCCACAAAATCCTGAAAGCTGGCAAGCACAATTCCCAAGATGCAAGAAAAGTAACATTTTGGGGAGGGGAATCAGTTTGAAGTATATTCACATCACTGATCACTATATTTTGTTTAACAGGGTAATAATTATTTTAAGCAAGGAAATTATGATGCTGCAATTGAATGTTACACAAAAGGAATGAATGCAGATCCTTACAATCCTGTTTTGCCCACAAACAGATCATCTGCTTTTTTTCGACTGAAAAAGTAAGGCTTGTTTTGGATACTTTGGTATTTCAGGATTTCCTTAAGCATTCAGCTCCCCCTCTCTTCTTTTTCAGTAGCCTTGTTTTGGTTTTAAACCTGTCAATGCTCAACCATTTCAGTTTGTCATTTGATAGATTAATTAACAAAGAAAATGGGAAATTAGTGCCTTATCAGAAGCTGGTATTGATGCTCAGCATCCTGAAAGTGCAGAGGCAAACATTTCTGAAGTGGTCCCATTTTATGAGCATTGACTCCTTGAAGGGGGTGGTAGGAAACATCGGAGTCGCATGCTGTGGCTGCCCTGTCAGACAGTGGGGGACAGAATATACTGAAGGGTATAATATAATGTTCATACCCACATTTCTGTGAATTGCATGGGTTTCTGTTTGCATGCTTTTAAGGAACATGCATTTGGGATGACAAACCTACAATATTGTTGCAGGTATTCTGTGGCTGAATCTGATTGTAACTTAGCACTTGCCCTAAACAAAAATTATACAAAGGCTTATGCTAGAAGAGGAGCCGCTCGCTTTGCTTTGCAAAATTTTGACGGTGCTAAAGAAGGTATGTTGGATTTTCTGTTTCTGTATGTTTAATACTCATTCGTTTTGGCTGTCAAAGACATTGCTCAGCCACAGCTCTTTTCATCCCAGGCCATTAACCATGCTTGCTGGGGCTCATGGGAGTTGTAGTTCAGCAACATATGCAGGGCCAAAGGTTCCCCACATGCCTGTTCTAGATAAATAACTTTCTGATTTATGGATTGACTTAGTGGTTTGGCCATATACCAATTTCAGCATTAAATCTTCAATTTGCCCTGTCTCTGAAGCATGCATGGAAGAGTTCAGCCAATTAATTAATGTATACAGCATCCTGAGAAACTTCTCAATTGAACAAGATTCTGGGAAACACCCATATATTATTAATTTTAAGTAAAATATGCTGTATCTCAAATGTCACTGGACATTATTGGTTGTACAATCTTAGAAGAGACTTATATTTGTTCTCCTTCTTTAGTAAGTGTCTGTAAAAAAAATTACATTGGAGAAATGACTTTTTTTAAAAAAGGTCATTTTGCAGATTTTCATTGAACTTTACTCCACCTGCAGTTAATTTTGGTTAAATATTTTCTTATTTACATGTCCCTAATTCTGGAAAAGTAACAATATTGTCTTAGATTTATGTTTGCTGAAGTTGAAAATCGCCCAGGGTGAAACGTAATTACAAACTGTTGGAGAATAACAGTGTTATGAAATGTGATGAGATCTGTTTTCTGTCTTCCCTCAAAATGAAGTCTAGAGACTGTGATACCTATTGATGAAATATAAATGTGTTTGGTGTTATCTTCTAGTTTATGTAGTTGGGTAATAATGCTATTAAACTTTTGGGAGGTTACTTTGAGAACTATTTACTTACTTGTTTTGGTTTTTAAGTAAGGTATGTCAGTGCATTTCCTATACAAGAAGCACTGCTGATACGATTAGCAAGCCCTAGCTTACATTTTCCCTAAAGGTTCATGCTTTTCACCCTATTAATGTATATTTTCATGTCCTGCTGTCAGATTACGAAAAGGTTTTGGAGTTGGATGCAGACAACTTTGAAGCAAAAACTGAACTTAGGAAAATCGAACAGGTAAATAATTTAAATTTGCCCAATGAACATGATTTTATTTTTTGCTATGTAGTATAAATGTTTTGCATGTCTTACGTCTTATATTAGGCTCTCCTGTCGAAAGAAGGCTTCCAAACTGAAGAATCAGATGTCTTTACCAACACTGAAATAACAGAACAGAAACAAACTGAGGAGGAGCAGCTAAAGCAAAAGGCTATGGCAGAAAAAGATTTGGTAAATAGAACATATAATGTTTAAGATAGTTGTGGGAGTTGTGGTGGAATTTTATAGTGGTTCAGAATTCATTCCATTGTGGAAGTCTTTTTCACAATTCTGCACCATGTAGAACTGGAACCCATGTCTGTGACAAATGGAATAAGTGTCTAGTGTTTAGTTAGTTGTGTGGTTTCTTTAAAGCGACCAAGTGTTAAAACACTAGATTTACATTATTCTGATGTAGTCCCAGCCCTGGCCCAGCTGCTATATGATTGTATTGTGTTGCCATATGCCAGACATTCTGAAATGCTGCGTTGCTGTCTGAAAAAGCACACCCTGTCACTACTTCTATTCCCTTCTTTCACATGCAGGAGTGTGTGAGATATTGAATAAAGTCTTAATTTTTGAAGTGCTGCTCACTTGTATGAAGATGCAATTGTTGATGTATGCACTGTTTCTCTTCCCCAAATATCACAGGGAAATGGCTATTTCAAAGAAGGGAAATATGAAATAGCAATAGAATGCTACACACGTGGAATAGCAGCAGATGGCACCAATGCGCTTCTTCCAGCCAACAGAGCTATGGCCTACCTGAAAATTCAAAAGTGTGTGCTCTTGAACTTGCAATTCCGCATGATCTGCGTATTTTCTTAGCATTTAAATCAATTCTGTCTTTTGAAATCTTTTTTGAAATACATATTCATAAGCAAAGCTTTTTACTAATTGCACTCTCATCAGTATCTATTATAAAACAATCTTAATTAATTTTCATATAACACACCAATAAACAGTACAACACAACATTTTGTTCCCACAAGAACATTTTGTTCCCATAGTGGAGATTATGTCATAGCTTGGGTTGATCTAATGCTGTTTTGCACTTCACCGAACTGATCTGAAAATGTATTTTTGTGTGAAATTAAAACTTGTGTACATAAGCAAGTAGCTAATGTAAGCACTACTTTCATATATTACAAGAATGACTTAATGGAGGAATTCAGAGCTACGATCTCCTCACCCATTCTCATTGCATTTTATTCATCAAGTTTTAATATTCAACCAGTGAAGTAGAATAAAGTATTCCTTTAGAGCAGAGCTTTCCAAACTGTGTCACTACACATTAGTGTGTCATCTGCAGTGTGTAGGTGTGTCACGTGAACGCTCCCCTCACTCCTCCCAGGGCTGGAAAGAGGTTAGTTTAACCTCCGGTTTGCTAGTAAAATTGAATTACTCTGTCGTGAAATGATGCATGTCTAAAAAGTGTATCATCAACATGAAAAGTTTGGAAAGCTCTGCTCAGGTTCAGATTGGTACTGTAGCTGTTACATTGTCAAGACCAGAGAGCAACTCTGCTATAAGCTGATACTCTTTGTAACATATTCAACTAAATGTTTTTGAATTTTCCAAATAACGGTCACATAAAGTTTAAATTTAGGCAACATAGTGGTTTTTAATCCAAGCACTTCTTTAATGTAATCACATTGAGAAAGGTCTGTTCAGCTCTAGAGATAGAATACACAGCTTCTAGTAGCATATAATTCTCATATTTGCTCATATGTGACATAGATATGCAAACTTTGGTCAGAATTTGTTGGAATGACTGTAGACTGTAAGAAACAATATCTGATGGGATCTGCACTACTAAGTAATCCTTTTAAATGTTTTCTCTTGATGATGAGATATGAAGAGGCAGAGGAAGATTGTACTCAAGCTGTATTACTAGATTCCAACTACTCAAAAGCTTATGCCAGAAGAGGGACTGCGAGAGCTGCACTGGGAAAACTAAAAGAAGCTATGCAAGGTGGGATTTTTAATGGATGTGTGCTTGATGTTATCTTTTAATGAAGTTTTTGCTCAATCATAATTTCTCAGTGCAACAGCCCCAGTCCACCAACAGCAATCCGGTATGATAGCAGCAAAGCTTGGGCAGAAAGTAACTGGGTTTTTTAAACACCTAGATTTTCTGAGCTGCCATGTTTGCCTGATATAGTTGGGCCACTGTAAGGGGGAACATGTATGTGCTCCTACCCACTTAACCTTTGCCCAGGGAATAGCACTGAAATTTAATTTTATTTCCATAAGGAGACTCTCACATTGAAGGCGATGTGGCAGAATCAGGAACCTGTCTAAATTGCTAATTGAGAATCTAATCAATTTGGGCCTTGCATCCTGTTTCATTGGAGTCAAGGCTGGTACTGCTGATTCAAAAGAAGTAAAGCTATTTTGCACTGAAAGAGAGCATGAAAATTGCTTAGTTCCCATTTCCTTGCTATTGCAAAATTTCATTCACAGTAGCTTACATTTTAATAAATAATGACCATTAGTTACTGTTATTGCATTTCAGTAGTTCATTAATAATTAGATACTTGAGCATGCCATAGTCATGGAAATCACATTTATTATAGTGGGGAAAGTCTTCTTTGGGAGACCAGTTGGATTCAGTGGGACTTCCAAATGGTTAACGTTTGATAATGGATCATGTCTTAACAATTGCAGATAAATACGTGTAAATTAAGTGTTAAAACTAATTATCGTTACATTACATTAAATTGGTGTTTCTTGATGTAAATTCATCAGATTTTGAAACTGTTTTGAACCTGGAACCTGGAAATAAGCAAGCAGTAAATGAACTAATGAAACTTAAGAATGTAAGTGTGTTGTACTTCAGTATCTCCCTAGTTACTTCCTTAAATTACTTTGAGTATTTTTCTGAGTTATAAATCATTCCGATTTTCATGGATGGTTATTTACTAATCTTTTAAAGGAATCAATTGCAAAAGGACTGTGGACGGGCATGGAATGTCCTGGACTATCACAAAAGGAAACAGAAGCACAAAATCTAGTGAAACCCATTGATAAACCCTTGCATCTTAGATCAAAAGTAAGTACAAATGATGAAGGTATCAGGTGTTTTTATCCCAAGGATAAGGTTAGTGAGAGCAGGGCAAACTTGTGTGGGCTTGAAGTGTTGTAAAGAAGAGGATCAGTTTGTTCAGGAAGGGAAGTTACAGGCAGGATGTTTGCTGGTATGAAATAAAGAGAAATTTCCACAAAGGGCAGAGGTGTGGGAGGCGAAAAGTGCATCCTAAGTAGTTTACATGGATCTGAACGGCGAGCCATATCTCTGTCTAGTATCATAAGAGAGGAAGATACAAAGAGGATTTAAAAAAAAAAAGTTTAGAAGGTGTGGTCTTATAAATACTGCCATACACATTTGGGGTGAGATCAATTGATAGGAGGCAGATTCCATTGCTGTATGTGTGTACTAAAAGGGTGAGTGTGTCTTCCTGTGATTGCCTACAAAAGTTTTATGCCACAAACAACCTCTTAGTATCGGGATTTTCATATTTGCTATGACAGGCACAGGTAAGCTTTGAGAATGCACCCAGTTGTTCACAGGTATGTTAAAACCGCTGTAACTAACTCCCTGCATGGTTCTGTTCTGTTTAGAAACCCTTGAGAAGAGTAATCATTGAAGAAGTGGATGGTGAGATTCTGACCGCAAATTTGCTGGCTACCTCCAATCCGCAACCTAATCAGTCTGTTTCTGCAAGTGTAGAAGCAACAAATACCTCAACATCTGCACAGAATCCAAGCAAAGATGATTTTTCTTCTTCAGCTGATACTCCCAAAGCAAAGCTGTTGAAAATAGAAGAAATCGGAGATTCTGTAACCATAGAGTAAGTACTGATTTTAGTATTAAATAAGAACTAGTGGTTTGTTTTGCTCCAAACAAACATGTTCACAATAAACTATTAACTATTAGCTTACTATGAGTTGTGAATTGACCCATATGGTAATGGGGGTAGGAGGCCTTATGAACGGAATAAACAAATGGGAACTTTGGTAATGATTTTAATCAGATCTTTTAGTTCCATATAGGTTAGGATAATTTTAGCTCAAGACAGTTGATGCTAAAAATCATGGTGGCTTAACAGCATGTATGTCCTTTTGAATAAATCTTAAAAGTAAAACTACAAGGCTATTTTTTCAGGTCTAATACATGTTATGTAAGTACAGAAATGGAAGAGTTTATAACTTTCCCCTCATATATTTTAGGAAACACTATACTGTATTTAGTGGCATCCAAACTTTTTTTCAAAGAGGGGCAGATTTGATGAGGTGGGGGCCGACCAAAGTTGTTGACCTTTTTTTAGGATTGCAGTTGTTGAGCTTCTATTAAGATTTAAGTTGTTGCAGTTTTTTTAGGATTTTAGGGAGTAAACTGCGTGGGCCGGATTAGGCCCCCAAAATGGACTTTGAACATGTCTGCTGTATGTGGTATACAGTAAACATTTTATTCTTGTAGCAAAGTTCCAACCCTTGAATATAAACCAAATGGAATGACATATAAATTACAGGGGAGCAAATGGCTACACTGTAATCAGTGTTGAGAGGGCTTGGACATTTGACATTTTTTTCTTTCACGTTATGAAATTATAGGGAAAGGCTTTACTTTTCTAGTTGTGAAAATTCCCTTTTGACGTTTATAATTTTCAGAGCACTATGGGCTTAAAGAATTGTTGTTTCTTACCACTTTTTTCCTCACCAAATTAAATGTACTGTTAAATATTTGGTGCATTAGCAATTAGTATTAAGTAAATCTCTTGTTCTGAACTTTTATATTCATAACCAACTTTGTTGCACAATAGTTGAGGCATTTTTACCCTTTAAACATTGCAAGTAAATCTAAAATGTATGTCAGATCAAGTGTAAGTAGTACTGTTGATGCATATAGTCTTAATCATGTGTTCCAATATTGTTGCTATTGTTTGCAAGATTAGGCTTTGAAAATGTACGTTGCACAAGATTGTGCAATTTTCTACACAATCTACTTAGTGGGGATTAGTGTTGGAACAGAATTCATTTTGACCACATCCAATGAAGTGTCACCCATAATGCACATATATCGATTATATGCAAGCTTTTTGCATGATTGAGCTAGACTGAATCTTACATTATGTCTTATCCTGACCCTGTCCTTTAGTAGAACAGATTCTGATCTGTTAAGGGGAGTCTCTACCACCATTCTGGATTTTTTTGTTTTCTTTTAACTACTTCAACAGAGTCCTGTACTCTAAATCAGGGAGTCATAAATGGGTTGGGACCAAGTATCAGAATTAGTGCCTTCTCCATAGCTTGGACTCTCAGATCAACAGCTGAGAGAGGCCCTTCCTACTCTTCCCTCTTTGTCAAAGTTGAAAAAAATGACAACCAGAGAGAGGGCCTTCTCAGTTTTGACACACCGTTTTTGACATACCTTCTGTAAGGAGGCTCACTTGGTGCTGATGTTATCTTTTAGGTGTCAGGTGCAAGAAAATCTTTCTGTTCACTGGCATTTAAGTTTTAGGAATTTTAAATGTTTTGCTGATAGTTCTGTTTTGTCTGCCAATTGTTGTTAACATGTGTCTTATTGATGGGACCCTTTAATTGTGTGAATCACTCTGGAACCAATTTTGAAGATTGGTTTGAATAAACATAACCGTGTTTTGTAAAACCTGTCTCCAAGTAGAGGCTAAGTAATCATCCACTTCATGTCTGCCTTAAATGTTTTAGACCTGTCAGCAAAAGCACTGTGAAAGAGAAACCATCATCTACATCTCAGTCTTGTGCTATGAAAAAACAAACTAAGACAGAAAAACAAACACTTCTCCCCACATTTACATTCCCTGTGCCTCCAGTTCCTGTGAATTCTTTTCAGCTGGAATCAGATTTCAGAAAATTAAAAGGTTACCCAGATCAATTATACGCGTACTTGAAGGTAAGCTTCTTCATGGCTAAGTATGGCTTCTACCAAGCTGTGTAACTTTACAGTGCAGGCTTTCTTAACACCTTCCTTTAGGGTAAAGCAATTTCCAACTTGTGATTTATTTAGTTTATTTCATTACATATTTTTTGTTGTTGTCCATGAATAGTACCTTTAGGGAAAGTTTTTCCTACTGAAGCTTCAGGGACGTGTTGATCAGCCTCACTGTCTCAGTCAGTTCATGCAAAGAGGTTGCAGCTGTCTCCAAAGCCAATTCCATCGTGTCCAGTGTGGGGCGTCCCATACAGGGTTTTTTGGGGTAATAGCAAGAGGAGAGGGGAGCTCCAGTGCTGGCTGTGCAGCCTCACGTTTATTTAGGGATTTGGAATGGCCTTCCTCTCCTTCACCAGCAGCCCTAAAACCATCATAGGTGCTTCATTTGAGTGCTGACACTCCACTTGGCTTCAGGATTCAACCTTCCACTGTAGTATTAGATCCAAGTGTGTTCCCTTTCCCTGTGACTCTCTGTAGCCCTTGTGCTACGCTAAAGAGAAGGTAGAATTGAAGCTCCTGCAGTTCTTTAAAATGGATCTGGGTAGAATTGAGTTGGACACCCATCTTCCACTTAGAGATCTTGGACTGAAAGGAAGCAGGAAGTCAGCTGCCTCCTTTCGTTCAACCAAACTCAGCCCCTGCTGCTCTCTTCTGCTGATATTTGCTGGCAATGTGCATGCCTGGATAATCTCTCTCTCTCTCTCTCTCTCTCTCTCTCTCTCTCTGTGTGTGTGTGTGTGTGTGTGTGTTTGTGTAATCAGAGGTACTTTTGGAGGGGAAAGACAGGATTTCTTATGTAACTTGGAGAAATTCTCTCCATCTGTAGGATTGCATGCATCAGCTGTAGTATTGAAAGTGCTTATCAAACTGCATATACTCGTAGAGCTATCTGTGGTATAGGAGTTTTAAAACCCTTAACATTCAGAGAACTCTTTCCACATCAGCAAGACAGTAGACGATCCTCTGACCATATGTTGATTACGTTGAAATCCTGCTCTTCCTCCAAGGACCTTAGGTTCTTTTCTCCCCACCCCCCAATTTTCATTATAACCTTTTGAAGTAGGTAAAGCTGAGAGAGAGCATCTGGCCCAAGGTGCTTGCTGCCGTGCTAAGCAGCAGACTGTGAATCCTAGGTCTTCCCTGTCACAGCCTCTGTACACTGTCACAGGATCTTACAGCATGTTCCAGGCCACACATTCCATTCATACTGGTCCTGGGAGCCTCACTGTCACTTCATATGAACTGAGAGACCTTGAGAACAAATCCAACATTCCCTGATGCTGCCCAGTATGGAGTGAGGGGCAGTCAGTATTAAAAGGAGCAAGCTGTACGTCAAGGAGGCGTGTTCCACCATTACTATCACTCTCATTGGAGAACCGTGATAAACTCCCAAGGAAATCCATTGTTCCCTAGAACAGTTTGAAAACTGCTGGTATAATAAAACGTTTTAATTGACTTGATTTCTTTCCAATCAAGCTTTTGTTTCTATAGGCACTGTGCAAGGAGATGAATTCTGATAGTGTGTAATGCCTGCTTTGTTTTTGTTTTGTTTTCTCAAAGCAAATTGATCCTTCACTTTATCCTAATCTGTTCCAAAAATCCTTGGATCCAGATGTATTTAGCCAAATTTTGAAAATTCTACAGGATTTTTATACTGGGTAAGTTTTTCAGTTCATGGATTTTTAGATGGTAAATTGAACAGCTGGACTCATTTCCTGGCTGAAAAGCAATTTTCCTGTTTTCCAGAGCATATTTCTGGCTGCTTGTTGTTCTGCCCGATACTAGCAATATGCCAGTACTTGGAATTAGTGTCGCTTGAATAATCTGTAAGAGAAATGATATTTTACAAAGCAGTTTTGGGGAAAGTAAGAAAAAAAATCAGCAGCAAAGTGTTGGTTAGAGCTGGAACACTTCAATGGTTACCTTTCAGAATATTTGGATGAAAATCCATAGTTGACTCACAATACAATGGGCAATAAATATATGGGCACCTTAACAATTGTTCCTTCACTTATTCTGACATCATACCATGCCTCTGAAGAGTGGCGCAAAGTCTAACATGAGACTGTCCGTTCTATCCATCCATATAACTTGAGTGCAGAGGAAGCATCTCATTGTTGACTTTGGAGGCACAGCACAAAGTCAAAAAGTCAGCACCTTCTGCCCAGGTTCCAGGTTAATGGGAAATGCAGTGTCTGGCTTTGCACTATGCTCTTAAGACACTCAGAATGTCTCTGAAGCATAGTGTGAAGATCAAAACAAGATTATACAAATCCTCTGTATGTGCTAGAGATAATAACTGTACCAAGGCTACTTAAAATTTGTGGAACTTGGTCACCATGCTTGCTCAGTTTTTCTTAGGCAGCTGCTTAAGGTGGGTCTTTTCAGGTGAAATCAATATTCTAGAATACCTTGACCTGCCTCAAAATATCCTTTTAACGGTGATGCCAAGAACTGAGCTTTGAGTCATATAGAACCAAAGCATGTCCCCTACCACTGAGAAGTATGAACTAAGTTGTTTTGATGTGCTTATGAGAAAGCACATCATGTGTATTACTGTTAGTATTATTAGTAAGACCCTGTATTAATGCTGCACTCACAGAAAGGGGGAGTTGAAGGAGTGCTGGCAAGATAAGATCAAGTTCCTCAGAAACAAGGAAATGAGGACTAGATGACTATCAATTTAATGTAATGTTGGTAGGAGGGAAGTACACAAAATACATCCATTATCTTGAAAACAGTCTGGAACGATGTTCACATGGGAAACTTTTCTTATGCAAAAATGATTGCTGCTATGCTACTTTGAACAAAATGAAATACCACAGTTGCACCTTAAACGAGAGCAGTTTCAAGATATTTTATACAAAATATTCTTATTTTGGATGCCCATGGGAACATAAGTTGCTTTTCTGGATATGTCAAAATTATCAGATTATTGACAATCATATCTGATTTGTAGTTTGTTGTAGTGTTTGTTTATATAAATTGGTTTTAATACTTGATTAATTTTATCCATGCATTCTGTTTTTCACTTTTTACGTGAGTTTGATAATGCCATAAACATGTCATGAAATTATCCAATCAAAAGAAGTTGTTTATAGGTGTATGTTAATGTTTCCCTCTCACACAGGAAAGAAGAACCTTCACTCATCTTAGAAATTCTGCAGAAGCTGTCCGAATCAAAAAGATTTGATATGGCAGTAATGTTTATGTCTGATTCAGAGAAAAAAGGTAAATAAAATGCAACCATGGGTCACTAATAGAATCTAGTAGTTGGTAGGTTTAGAGATAGGCATGCTAATTGCACAGTTTGGTTGCTGCAACAAAATCCCGAAAGTGTTGTTTTGCTTTTTTTAAAAAAGAGATTCTGTCCAGCATCATTGTTTGAGAAAATAATTTTCATCACCTGCTCCCCCCACCCCAGCAAAACCTAAAACCAAAATTAGGTAGCTTGGGCTTCTGGTGCTGCTGTTGGGTTAGTATAAAATGGAAATGTAAAGTGTCTGGATTTCTCTCTCTGAGGAATCTTAAAGCTCCTGCTAATATTTTACAACCCGATATAAATAAAATATTGCAAATTGGGTCCCAAAGTACAATGTTGCAGTTCTTTCTTTTGGAGCTTAAAAAACAATTGTTGCATCAGAGGCAGGAGTTCTTGCTCCAACCTGTTTCTTACTTCATGTGCAACATTTATTTTCTCTTAAGTTTAGAACATTTTAGAAGTGCAACCAGTCTTTATGCAAGTCTGTGGAATACAAGTGCTGAATTGGTCTCAGAGGTGGTCAGAGTGAGACAATTGGAAGTAGTTTTGGCTTTTTCTGCAATCTAAAAGATATGAGGGGGCAGTATTAGGTATTAGAAATCCAAATCAGTCACCTCTCACCTGCAGTATTAACAGTGAATTCTGCTGCAGGGCCCCCATAGCAGTAAACTACATGATTGTTATAGTCTACTCTCTCAGGCCACTTGGCAACATGGCGAATAAAAGCAGTAGTTTACCGTCATACCTTCAAAAAATAAATTGCAGCTTCTGATTGGCTGGAAGCTCCTGCAGCCAATCAGAAGCCGTGGAAGCCCTGTCAGACATTTGGGTTCCAAAAGAACGTTCCCAAACCAGAACAATCACTTCGGGTTTGCAGCATTCGGAAGCCAAAACGTCCGAGTTCCAGGGCATTTGTGATCCAAGGTACAACTGTATACTGTAGCATTGTTTGTTTGCTACTCTTAGCTTTCGCCCAGCTTGCAGTAATACCTGTGGACAACACTGTAAACTACTCAGAGAAATGGATTAAAAAGTAACAAAGCAGCACAGAACCTGATTTTCTCCTCTCTGCACCTCTGCCTTTGTTAGCCTGCCCTGCTGCTGATAAAGAACATTTTGAAGCCTCCCAGACTGTGAAAGCCCTGCGCTTCTCTTCACCAGCCACTTGCCAGGCAGTCTCATGCAGAGAATATATATATGAGCTGATTAAAAGGCTTAAGAAATGCACTAATCTCTCTTTTCTTATAGCTGCACATTCGTTATTTGGTCATTTGGAGCAGTCAGGATTGAAAGAGTCTTCCGTTAAACTGCTCAAGACAAGATATGGTATTTAAGGCAAATACCTTTTTGTGTCTGCATAGAAGCACAGCTGATTCTGCACCATTTTGGGAAGACACTTGCCTTCGGATGATCAGTGAGACTCCCATCTAGGAGGATTCAAAGTACCTTCCACTTGCGCATGAGGATTGTTTGGTCCCCCCATGCCACATCACATGTTTCTTTGGAAAGTCTCTGCACTTTCAATGGTAGTTTCCTGGATAGGGAAGAGAGGGGAAAGGCTGGTTTTACATTTACTGCTCCATGCACTGCGCTTTGGAGCCAAGCCTGTGAAAAAGAAGCATTTGTGTGGAAAAGGTAAATGTGTGTCTTCCAGTCTAGCAGGGTACCTCATAAGATTTAGCACGACAGAATCTATTTTAAACTGGGCTTTTTTCCCCTCTTTGATCATATTGTAGAATCAAAGCTGACAATGAGTTGTTAAAATATTTTATAAATTTTGCGTTGTACGTATTAATTTGCTGTTTTAAAATAATTCTGTATTTCTGTTCTTATCAATAAACAGATGTTTAATTCCAGGATTCTGAAACTGTTGTATATGATTACTAATTTCAATGTTGATACCTCTTGTCAGATTTTTCAGGTACAGATGAGTGAAAATCTGATTATTTTCAACCAATTGCCACCTTGCCTCAATTTATCCCTATTTCAGTTACTAACAAAGAACATTTTTCTCCTAAGGATTCATCAATCATCGTTTTGGCTTTGTCGGTATCTTCTTTCTGAGACTATATGTATATCACATGAGTTAATCACCCTTTACCTCTTCAAACGCCCACCCTTACTAAGAGTTTAAAACTGGTTATTTTGCATTTCACTGGTGTAAACTACTGGAATCAAATGAAGGATGTATATTTCTGTATATTCTTCAATAACGTTAGGTGTATTCGTGATGCTAGATAGTTGTCAATTAAACATTTTGACAAAAGCATTATATAAACACACTATTTTTTTTCATGACACATTTGTTTTATGACATCTGCTCATTTAAAAAATAATTACCAAGGTCTTGCTACATTGATTTCTAACCTATCCACTTGAATCAGGTTCAAATCTAAAAATAAAGCACATTACATATTGTAGCCTGAATGAATTGTAACAAAGTTCAAAGCATTTTAAAAACACATTGGGCCATCTAAAATCAGCCAAAAGGAGCAGGTTCTGGAAAAAAGCCCTGCTACTCAGGCTGAGAGTCCATTTACTTCAGCATCCTCATCATTTCCCCCGCATCTCCAGGTGTGCATCTAGGAGGCCAACATTTGGGGCATTAAAACAGTAGACCTTTCCTGCTGTTTAATTGCACAATGGGCTATTTCTGTGCCCATTAACAGCTTGCATTGCCCCTAACATATGCATTATTCTTCAGACAACAACTGGATGGAAATTGGTCCCTGTGAAAATAAATGTTTGGCTTCCTGGTTATTCAAAATTCTAAACCTGCAGCAGTTAACCAAGTAAATAGTGACAGCCCATTAAAAAAAAATCACAGAGAATACAGGTTTTATAGGTAGAACAAATGAATTTGTTTTCATTGCCATTTTGTAGACATTGCATGCTGTACCTTACCCTCTAGAACAGTAATTTTCAGACTATTCAGCACGTGTATCAAATGCTACAATGAGCATCAGTTAAACTAATGCTGAAAAATGAGCACTTAAGACCCAATTATTGGGAATTTTTCAATAAAACTATCTCTTCAATTGAGCAAAAGAAGCTTGATATTCAAAATCACAGCTGTTTGTTCCATTTAAATGTTGGCTGGCTGTAAATATGAATTCATATTTGAAAATGCCAGTCCTATAATTTAGTAAATGCTTAAGTAGACAACCTATCCCTGGAATAGAGAACAGGACATTACTCGTCCCTTGGTTCATAGGGACACTAGTTCTATTTGAACTGTTCCAAGAAATGTCATGAGAGACCCAAATTCTGATTTGCTTGGACTGTATTGTTTTCTTTGGTGACAAGCAATAATGAGAGTTTGGTTTGACTGTCTTCCAAAACCATTGTGAGTTATCCAGGTCCAATAAAACCAGCAAGAATGTTTGTTATTAATCTCAATTGCCTTGGCATATTATAATCTTGAGGTCTGGTTTTTAAAGACAATTTATGCTTGTTATCTTCTGCAGAACCCCATCATTGAATTGATCTTGAATGTAACAAAGCAAAACAAAAAGAAACACCAACTCTGTTCTTTCTTGATGAGACCAAAGACTCATACTGCCTCTGACCATGGAAGCAGAGCAGAGCTATCAAGACTAGTTTGGGAACTACTGGTTAGAACTTGGAGTCTAAAAATACCTTAGTTCACTACTGACACTCTTCTCTCCCACCTCCAGTTTATTCATTAAACGTGTACCCTGCCTTAACCCACAAAATGCCAAATGTAGTTGTGATCTTCACAAACAGACTTGTGCATGCACACAAATCAGACACGGGCAATATCAGCACAGAGAAGCAGCTTCTACCCGAATTGATGTTGTGTGTGAATGCTGATGTTGTGTAATTCAAAGTGTTATGAACTTCACACATGTTCCCATAGCATCCTTTATAATGTGTGATGAAGGGAACAATTCATAAAAAATGTAGGTTGCGCCATAGATTAATCAAATATACCTGCTGTCTTATTTTTAGTCTCTTTTCTAAAAATTGATAATGAGGTTTGCTCTCTCATAAAGGTAAAGGGTAAAGGGACCCCTGACCATTAGGTCCAGTCGTGGCCATCTCTGGGGTTGCGGTGCTCATCTCGCTTTATTGGCCGAGGGAGCCGGCGTACAGCGTGGCTAGCATGACTAAGCCGCTTCTGGCAAACCAGAGCAGCGCACGGAAACGCCGTTTACCTTCCCACCGGAGCGGTACCTATTTATCTACTTGCACTTTGAAGTGCTTTTGAACTGCTAGGTGGGCAGGAGCAGGGACCGAGCAATGGGAGCTCACCCCGTCGAGGGGATTCAAACCGCCAACCTTCTGATCAGCAAGTCCTAGGCTCTGTGGTTTAACCCACAGCGTCACCCGCGTCCCTATATTGCTCTCTCATGTTGTTGTTGTTTAGTCGTTTAGTCGTGTCCGACTCTTCGTGACCCCATGGACCAGAGCACGCCAGGCACTTCTGTCCTCCACAGCCTCCCGCAGTTTGGTCAAACTCATGCTGGTAGCTTCGAGAACACCATCCAACCATCTCATCCTCTGTCGTCCCCTTCTCCTTGTGCCTTCCATCTTTCCCAACATCAGGGTCTTTTCCAGGGAGTCTTCTCTTCTCATGAGGTGGCCAAAGTATCGGAGCCTCAGCTTCACGATCTGTCTTTCCAGTGAGCACTCAGGGCTGATTTCCTTAAGAATGGATAGGTTTGATCTTCTTGCAGTTCATGGGACTCTCAAGAGTCTCCTCCAGCACCATAATTCAAAAGCATCAATTCTTTGGCGATCAGCCTTCTTTATGGTCCTGCTCTCACTTCCATACATCACTACTGGGAAAACCATAGCTTTTACTATACGGACCTTTGTTGGCAAGGTGATGTCTCTACTTTTTAAGATGCTGTCTAGGTTTGTCATTGCTTTCCTCCCAAGAAGCAGGCGTCTTTTAATTTCGTGACTGCTGTCACCATCTGCAGTGATCATGGAGCCCAAGAAAGTAAAATCTCTCACTGCCTCCATTTCTTCCCCTTCTATTTGCCAGGAGGTGATGGGACCAGTGACCATGATCTTCGTTTTTTTGATGTTGAGCTTCAGACCATATTTTGCGCCCTCCTCTTTCACCCTCAATAAAAGTTTCTTTAATTCCTCCTCACTTTCTGCCAACAAGGTTGTGTCATCTGCATATCTGAGATTGTTGATATTTCTTCCGGCAATCTTAATTCCGCCTTGGGATTCATCCAGCCCAGCCTTTCGCATGATGAATTCTGCATATAAGTTAAATAAGTAGGGAGACAATATACAGCCTTGTCGTACTCCTTTCCCAATTTTGAACCAATCAGTTGTTCCATATCCAGTTCTAACTGTAGCTTCTTGTCCCACATAGAGATTTCTCAGGAGACAGATGAGGAGATCAGGCACTCCCATTTCTTTAAGAACTTGCCATAGTTTGCCGTGGTCGACACAGTCAGAGGCTTTTGCATAGTCAATGAAGCAGAAGTAGATGTCTTTCTGGAACTCTCTAGCTTTCTCCATAATCCAGCACATGTTTGCAATTTGGTCTCTGGTTCCTCTGCCTCTTCTAAATCCAGCTTGCACTTCTGGGAGTTCTCGGTCCATATACTGCTTGAGCCTTCCTTGTAGAATTTTAAGCATAACCTTGCTAGCGTGTGAAATGAGTACAATTGTGCGGTAGTTGGAGCATTCTTTGGCACTGCCCTTCTTTGGGCTTGGGATGTAGACTGATCTTCTCCAATCCTCTGGCCACTGCTGAGTTTTCCAAACTTGCTGGCATATTGAGTGTAGCACCTTAACAGCATCATCTTTTAAAATTTTAAATAGTTCAGTTGGAATACCATCACTTCCACTGGCCTTGTTATTTGCAGTGCTTTCTAAGGCCCATTTGACTTCACTCTCCAGGATGTCTGGCTCAAGGTCAGCAACCACAATACCTGGGGTGTACGAGACATCCATATCTTTCTGGTATAATTCCTCTGAGTATTCTTGCCACCTCTTCTTGATGTCTTCTGCTTCTGTTAGGTCCTTACCACTTTTGTCCTTTATTATGGTAATCTTTGTACGAAATGTTCCTTTCATATCTCCGATTTTCTTGAACAGATCTCTGGTTCCTCCCATTCTGTTGTTTTCCTCTATTTCTTTGCATTGCTTGTTTAAGAAGGCCTTCTTGTCTCTTCTTGCTATTTTTTGGAAATCTGCATTCAATTTCCTGTATCTTTCACTATCTCCCTCGCATTTTGCTTGCCTTCTCTCCCCCGCTATTTGTAAGGCCTCATTGGACAGCCACTTTGCTTTCTTGCATTTCTTTTTCATTGGGATGGTTTTCGTTGCTGCCTCCTGTATAATGTTGTGAGCCTCCACCCATAGTTCTTCAGGCACTCTGTCCAGCAAATCTAAATCCTTAAACCTGTTCCTCACTTCCACTGTGTATTCATAAGGGATTTGGTTTAGATTGTATCTTACCGGCCCTGTGGTTTTTCCTACTTTCTTCAGTTTAAGCTTGAATTTTGCTATAAGAAGCTGATGATCTGAGCCACAGTCAGCTCCAGGTCTCGTTTTTGCTGACTGTATAGAGCTTCTCCATCTTTGGCTGCAGAGAATATAATCAATCTGATTTCGATGTTGCCCATCTGGTGATGTCCATGTGTAGAGTCGTCTCTTGTGTTGTTGGAAAAGCGTGTTTGTGATGACCAGCTTGTTCTCTTGACAGAACCCTATTAGCCTTTGCCCTGCTTCGTTTTGATCTCCAAGGCCAAACTTGCCAGTTGTTCCTTTTATCTCTTGATTCCCTACTTTAGCATTCCAATCCCCTATAATGAGAAGAACATCCTTCTTTGGTGTCACTTCTATAAGGCCTTGTAAGTCTTCATAGAATTGGTCAATTTCAGTTTCTTCAGCACCAGTAGTTGGTGCATAAACTTGGATTACTGTGATGTTAAAAGGTCTGCCATGGATTCATATCGAGATCATTCTATCATTTTTGAGATTGCATCCCAGTACAGCTTTCGCCACTCTTTTGTTGACTATGAGGGCCACTCCATTTCTTTTACGGGTTTCTTGCCCACAGTAGTAGATATGATAGTCATCCGAACTGAATTTGCCCATTCCCGTCCATTTTAGTTCACTGATGCCCAGGATGTCAATATTTATTCTTGCCATCTCATTTTTGACCACATCCAACTTACCCAGGTTCATGGTTCTTACATTCCAGGTTCCTATGCAATATTTTTCTTTACAGCATTGGACTTTCCTTTCGCTTCCATGCATATCCGCAACTGAGCGTCCTTTCAGCTTTGGCCCAGCCGCTTCA